TCTTCCCCATGCCAGTGCAGTGATGCAGAGACCACAGCTGTAGGCAGCACTTCAAGATTTGGACAAATGCATTTTGTTGTCAGCTTGAAACCTATATGCTCCTTACATTAAAATATTTCATCATTTTCCAATTTAAAGTTTTACCTATAGGGGCTTTGATTTCACCATGCATATTTTAGATGTTTAATGTTTCTACTTTAGCCAGAAAGGAGTATTAAAGCAGTTGACAGCGAACTATGCTTTTGCAGCTATAAATATTCATACTGATAACCTGACAGAACTGGACTCCAATCCATTCTCAGAGAAGATGGATAACAAAACATTCGTGCTTTGAAAAACACGTCAGACAATATCAAAAGCCTTGCTTGCAGAAATATTCCCAAAGCCACAATGACAAAGCAATGGAATTTATGCTGTGACCTCAGTACAGATGTTCTCGTTCAAAAGGGGGGAAAAAAACCCAGCAATAATCTGGATGCTCCACTTTGACGCTGGAACACCCAGTGAGCAGTGGAGCAGAGGAGGAGCAGGTTTGCCGTCAACAGGAGGGAATTCTCAGTGTTAGGGGTAGGTATCACACCCCCCAGCTCAGCCTCACCACTGCAGTAACCTCTCAGGGTCATCTCCAGGAGCCACAGCCCACCAGTTACCTCAGAGCCCACCTCTCCAGGGCCTGATCACCCGTGCTGTGTGCCATCAGGTGAGCTACACAGTGGAGACACTTGCAGTAGCCCACAAGAGACCCTAGAGCCCTACCAGTAAGCGCAGTCTTGGGGAGAGGAGGGAAGAATATGGAAGATAAATGGGAAGCATTACTTGGAGCTGTTTGTGTCCCAGTTCTTCTTACGTAAGGTACTGGCGTTCCTGCCCTGGCAGCACTACCCTGTCTGCACAGGTGCCAGCAGCAGGGCACACCATAAACATGCTGCTGTGGCACACAAAGTGAGTGGGCCTCGTCCGACCCTGATCTCTGAGGGGGGAAAAAATCCCTGCCTCATCACATATTGGCATCAGTAGAGCATCACTGAGTATCTGTGCTACTCTGAAGCTCTTTCTTTAGCATGGGATACAGTGTCATGACATCCCATCCCACCCTCCCCACCCCCTATCAGACTGGTGCCCTTTGGTAGCTATGTCTAACATTTCTTAACAGCCATTCTCCTGCTTCAGGGGTCACCAGAAAGATGGCTTATCTCACAGTCCTGGCCCAAAGAGCTCTCGGCCCACCCCGTTCCTGTGGACTGCCTCAGTCCTACAGCTCTCAAGCCTGCAACAGCCAGGACACATCAAAAGCACTCACAGCCCACCTCAACATGCGCATACCCAGCTGCCACAGCTATCCCCAAGGCCACCCACACTTGGACAGCGTGGGCTTTTCTGGCACACTCCACCTCAGGTGCTCTGCAAATGCCCTGACTATGTAAACATGTCCTAGAGAAAACACCTGAGGCAGATAGCTCCTGCTTGCACAACCTGCACCAACAGCCCTGCTGCACATCACCGCAAGCAAGGCTCCAACCCCAAATGACTGCTTCAGGACCACGTTCATGCTACAGGATGGCTAGAGCTAGGCAGACTCGATCAGGCTGTGGTGCAGGGCCTGGAGGGAAGACAAGGTTACATGGGCTGGGACGTTTCCTCTTCCCTCAAGGAGATGACAGCAGCCTCCTTTCTCTGAAGTGCCTCCTCAGGTAAAGGAGGTAAAACCCCACAATGGGACGCATGCTCTGGGCCTGGGGCTTCCAGGTTCTTTGCCAAAAACCGGCATCCATCCTTGTCTTCAGAGTACCCAGCCCCAACAAACAGAAGGTTGTCCCTTGTGCCTGACAAGCCCCAACTCCCACCGCTCAGCCACGGAGCGGTCTCCTGCTGCACAATGTGAAGTTAAAGCACGCACAACTTCTCATTTTCACCAAAAGCATCGAGGTCTAGCCCACACGCAACTTGTTGCTGGAGGAAGGCAACAGGTCACAGTCCTCCCCCACCACCCCTAGTCCCTATGTACACCTCCTGGTGCACACCCCTTCATGAACCACAGCTGTTGCAGCAGATGCACACACCACAGCCACATCAGTCAGCAGGGGAGAATCACCAACACAACGGGATCCAAGGCCAAAGCAAGTACAAAAAGCCATTACTGTTTCAGTCACCTTCAGCACTGCACCCGTGAACACAACCTGTCACGTTCAGGGCAGCCGTCACCAAGGCCATCTCTGCCCAATGATTTCACTGTGCAAGCTCCCACAATGGCAAAGAAAAGCAGGAATTAGCACATCCACACATCTCGCAGCATCTCAGCCCTCGGCGTTTAGACAAGTGGCCACCAACAGTACTCCCCTCACCTCTGGATGTAGGTCTTGCACCTCCTCCTCCCTCCACTATCAAGTCAGAGGCTGCCCCCTTCCTCGCACCTGATGTAACAGCACTTCCCAAAATGCAGGTATTTCATCCCCACTTGCTGAGGAAATACCAGTCCTGCTTCCCAACATTCTCCAGCAACACTGTCTACACTTCTATGCGTACTGTACATGAGAGTGCTGTCAGTCCCTGTGTGGATAGGGAGAAACAGAGCACAAAGAGAGAGAGCTGGAAGCACTGATCAGTTCCTCTTACCAGATTGCTAGCCAGAGGCACCAGAGAGGTTATGAATGTCACACTGGGGAGCGCAACCATGTGTGCAAATGGACATCATCTCTTTTTTGGGTGTGTGCAGTGAGGAAATAAAGCTTCACCCTGCCCCTGGCCAACCCATCATTGTTGGATATCTGTTGCTGGATAAAAAGCTGTCCTCTGTCAGAGGATGTACGTCCTGTAAGTGTAAATCGACAGGGCACCAAGCCCACCCCTAACATGGGAGAACATATCAACACATCTACTGGAATCAGAACCTTCCTTTGTGCTGGCACAGGGAGTTCTGAACCACAGGCAGTGGGAAAAGACAACTGAGGTGCTACAGCATGAGGACACCTCTCCCAAGACTTGTCAGCCTCAGTGGCCAAAGTGGCTGCCAGAAGAGAAGGTAGTCTGTCTTCAGTGTGGCAACTTCACCCTGATCCAAGTGGGTCACTTCTGAGCAGAGCGCTGCCAGCTTCTCCCTCACATCGAGCTGGGGCACCTTAGCACAACATGGACTGGCAATGCTGAGCCACACCACAGAGAGGTTCTGCCACAAGCCTTCACAGAGCCTGGAATTTGAACACCACTGATTAATCTTGGCAGCAAATACTCATTTGACCAGCTTACAAAATAGCCAGTTCATAATACTCCTAAAAGCAACAGTGCCTATGTTGGATCCAAAAAAAAAAAAACCACCAAAACAAAACAAATTTGGCATTGGACTGTTTGGGTACACCTGCCTGATTGCTTCAGAAAGGCAATGAGGACAGCTGCCTCCCAAATCACAAAACTCAAGCTTTCAGTAAGAAAATACCAGCGGTAATACAAGCACAGTGAGGCAGTCAAGGCACAGTGCCTGCAGGGTTATCCAGGGGTGACGGTGACAGCCTGCAGCAGACAGCCAGCTCTATTTGCTTCCACGCTGTAAAGAGGGCATGGACCTTGGAATCACAATTCCCCCTCCTCCAAGGATCTGTTTGAATCAAATCACTGCTCTGGAACAAACCGAACCAGCTTGTATGCAGTGCGAAGCAGGGGACTAAGACCCCAGGAACAAATCAGTGAGAGTTTAACAAGAAGTTAAGCCTGCACAAGTAAAGGATTTTAGCACGCACAAGTGTTTAACTCATTGTTTCCTATTGAGAAACCCATGGCATATACGCTGTTCAAACATTTACACCATGTTCTTAAACAAAACAACCCTCACAGTTCATACTGTATGTACATAAATAAAGGATTTTTAATTTTAAAAAAAGAAAAAAGATGGTGACTAAATAACCCAGAACAAGCCGTCCCCTTCCCTAAGCCAAAGCTGATTTTATTTGCCTTTCTTCATTTTTGCAGTCTTTTCTTTCTGCTTCTTCACATGCTTTGGGATTTTGGTTTTCCTCTTCTCTCTTTGGGCTTCTTTAACCATCTTCTTCCTTTCCTATAAAGGACCAAACACCATTCATTTAAACCCAGAAGGAGTAAGATTTTGAGCAGGACAATCAATTGTTACATTAATGAGTTAATTAACAAACCACACAAAAATGAGGCTATCAAGAGGAAGAAATACAAAAAGAAAATTAACAGGAAAGGTGAGGCAAAACAAAAAAGGAAGAATAGGTTGGGGGTGGAGCTACGACCTACACACACGTAATGACAAGGCAAAATTCAAACTAGTCAAAACCTTTTGGTTTCATGCAACCTTTGAAAAAAGGGAACAAAAGGCATTCTTAACTCCTGCTATTTACACCTAAGATTACAATAGAATGCCTGATCTAGGTTTTCGGCTACCCACAGGGCTTCAATAGCATGTGTTTCCAGGTGTCGTGCAAAAATACTGATCCAGTAACTGCTGGTAACTCTGAGCATGGTGATCATCGTCAGGATTGGTAAGAAAGGGTGCAATGCTACTGCAATGCAATATAATTTGTGTCAGACCGTGAAGAGACTACACTCTACTGGAAAAGAAAGTCAGCATAATGGGGTAGAGGGTGGAAGTAATTGCTGCTAATCAGTTGTTTGAGCTACAACTGAACACATAGGTTAGCAAAAACCTCATCTCACTCACACAAAAAGAAGTCCAGATGAAAACCTATCCATAAGTATGAGAAGTGAAGAAGGCTTCCCTGCTTCACATCTGAAAGGCAGCAGCTCTAAATTGGTGGAAAGTGTCTAGTAGAGCACTGCATTTTTATTTGATGGATATGGAATGTATTATCTTGCCTTTTCCAGGAAGAAAAACCTAAGAAGCAGACACGCAAATCTTGAACCCCTTAAGCCCAGCAAGTTTCATCCTTCTTTTGCACAGCACCTAAAAGGCTGCCAAAAGGCTCTTACCCCTGTGTGATACTTTGCAGAAGAGCCTCACTCAAACAGACCGTACTTGTTCTGAAGTTTGGAGAATGAAACCTCAAACCTCACAAAAACCATAATCCCCTTGCATAGCTTTATGTCTGTTACCCAAAGCAAAGCCAGCTAGTCTGTACTAAGGGTACCACAAGAGCCATCTGTGGTACAAACATTGTCACCAAGTCTCCAGTTCTTCAGCTCAAGTGGTCTCAATTCCCTAGGCAAAAGGAGGTTAACTGGGGACCACGACTACAACCTGCACACCAAATCCTGGAAGAGTAGCCAGAAGCACTGAAGAGCTGGCTCACGCTTCACTAAATTCTTCTTTGCATGGCCTTAGAATTCCCTGCAGAGATCCCTCTTCTAGCTCTGTCTAGGCTACAGAGAGCTATGCTACCTGTTCCTCTACATAAAAACACCATTAACAGAGCATGCACAATGAAATTCACTTTCTCTGCTCTCATTCTCCACAACAGGAAAAGTTCATTGTTTCTGACAAGAAGTAGCAAGAACCAGTCGGAACTAAGTTTGGATTTTTTCCTGACACATAGGCAGAAGTGGGGAAAAATAAACATTTCCTGGCCAGCTGACCTTTTTGTCCATGCTAACTTCAGCAGGTTTATCTTTGGGATGTACAGATTCTTTACAGCCCAAATCACAGTCCTCTGAGCTGCCACCATCATCATCAGAGCCTGTTCCTGACTCATCCACCTTCTTTTCAAGAAGTGCAGGAACCTGCAACATATATCAAGAGAGAGTTATATCATACCAAAACACAGAAGCCTAACAACTATGTGCACACACTATATATAACAAAACAGAATGGCCTAAAAAGAAACCCTCGGGTGAGCTCGTGCCATCTCCTTTACTACAGCCATCACTGAGTCTCAAGGAACAGAATGAAAAGCAGGTTAATCCAAACCAAGGAATCTAGAATGTACCACACAGACCCTTGTAGGTCAGGGCCCACAGTACAGCTGTATTGGCACTCCCAAACTAATTTCTTTAAGTTAAACAGCAATTTGCTAATGCATGTGGAATCCAATTTTTAATTATACTAGGATCATAGCAAAATCTACCTCGGGGGCGCTGTATGTAGGCTTTATTGCAAATACAAGCATCTACGTTGGAAAACTCACTTCTTTAACAAGCCTGGAGACTGGGCCACAGCCTGATTCCATGCATAGTTATACTTTCATTTTAAAACAGGTCTACACCACTTCTAGGTAACATTTACAAAGGAAGGAAGGGGAATCCACATCGGGCTTCTGCCTTGGGTAACCAGCTTCAGTTATACTGCTACAGACTGATCTGTACCCAGCTTCTTACCCAAAGTACTTCACAGAAGCATCACTGTCAAGTACTTAAAATACAGTAGGGCATGATATCTTATGCCTTATACTGCAGAGTTGTTCTTTACACAATTGCAGCAAATCTACCCCAAACATATCAGAACTTGTAGTCACACCACACTGTAAATCAATTAAGTTTTCCATAATTGGAAAATGTCTTCTTCCACCCTCCACCTTAACTTTTGAGATCATGACCACAGTGAGGATTACCATTTCATTCCCAAGCAATGCAGCATCAGTCACTGTGCAGGGAATCAATTCATGTAGTGTGCGGACACACTGATGACAGACCCATCCCAGCATAGGCAGCACCCAACCCAGCATAAATGGTCACTCTGCAGACAAGAAGCTTCTTCCAGCTGCAAGATGAGGCATTCTCTGCACTCCTTACAAGTGCTTTTCTGAAAATGGCTAAAGCAAAAGATTTCAAAAAGGCCTTCTCACCTTCTGAACACCAGACAAATCCTTCTTCAGCCCTGTCACAGTCTGGTAGAGAATCTACACTCAGGGAGAGAGAAAAAAAGAAAAAAATACGTTGTCAAAATATGAGTCTTAAATTTTTATGCCCAGAGAATGTAAGTATCTCAAAAAAAAAAAAAAGGAAAAAAAAGAAAACACACACGTTAGTATTAGTACTAAAGAGATGACTTTAAAGTATGACACTAGATTCAGTACTCCACACCTTGGTAACAAGGCTTCTGGGGTTTTTTTGTTGCTATCAGTTTCCAGTAAGAAGAATTTGTATTCCCTCCATCTTTCTTGCAGTGCCTCAGCACGTCTACTCACATTATCTTGCTGAACATTCAATGCCATATCCTCTTCTTTCAATTTCATCATTATATCCACATCTCTCTCATAGTTTTTAACTTCAGTCAAAGTTCGAGGTATGTAAGCCTTCTTAAACACCTAGCAGAGTGAAAGGAAACACAGACTTCCTAATTTACATAGTTTCATGATGGTTCATCCTTCCCAATTATGCATCCTTAAGAGAAAATTCATGAGGGATTTCATGGCTCAGAGAAACTAAAAATGAACACAGTAGTCACCCACTACCATTGGAACTTGCTGGGGTTTTTTGCAGGAGTAGACTTAACCTTCAACCTACACATTACTGATAGCTCATTACGAATAAGGCCCCTTCCTTAGCACGACTATCACAAGGCCACTTATAAATTTCTCTAACCCTTCCAACTTCCTCTTAAGCGATTTGAGTCCTAAGGTTTTGTATTCTTAGGATTTTCTCTGATGTTTTTATTGTTATGTTTACAATGCCTTCAGGAGGCAACTGCATTAAATGCACTGTTAACTTAATCTCTTCATATAATAATACCTCCTTCAACCTACAGTCCAACTCAAAGAAGGTTCCTGCAGCAGTATAGTACCGTAAAACCTAACTGCAGTATCAACAACATAAGTTAAAATCTGTCATGCAGTCTTTTTGAAACGGTCCTCTAGCAAACTTAAGTCTCCACCAGATCAGAGAGAAGTATTTTGCTTCTCTTTTCCACGGTATCAGTTTAACCCCAGTACAAATTCAGTACACTTTATGATCATAACTGCTAGACTAACAGCAAAGAGCAGAAGCCCCCACCTCCACAGAGCTTAATCAGCTCTACTCTTATGTCAAAAAAGTGAACACAAACTAGCCATGGTCACATGAGAAGTCAAAGACAAAAACTGAACTTAGATGTTACTAAACCATCTCTCTTAGGGGTCAGTACCTTTCTATAAGCAAAGGAATAACTGGTTTGCAAAACATGGGCTTGCAACAAAACATTAGCATCCGACCCTACAGCTCAGAAGTTGTGGGCTGAGGATATCTTAGGACACAAAAAAGTCTTTCCTTGGCCAAGCTTGAGCCAAAAGCAGTTAGTAAGACCTGCAGAGCTCCAAGATGAAAAGTCTTTGATAAATCAAGTAATATTGACTCCAAAGATAAACACCATGTGAACCAGTACAAATAGGTTCTCACTGATATAAATCCTGCTCAACACAGATTTGCTTTTCTGGGTTTTTTTTTGTTGTTTTCTCTTTTTTTTTTTTTTGATTTTAAAACTCTTCTGGAACAGAGAGATAAGATTAATATAGACATTGTTTTATCTTTATGTCAAGCCTTTTCAAGACATTAGCAGTCTTCTGTAACGGACTTGAAATGGCTTCACTTAATGTAAAAGCAAAGGAGAGAAACAGTACATGGAAGAACTGAATTAGACTGGGACAGGAGCTAGATAGGCAATCTGGTCAACGCACGTATCCAGATACCCTGCTTCTGTATCACTGGTCCAAAACCACTGGCATAATCAGATCTCTCCACTCAATTTTTCTGTTAACTGAACCTGAACTGGAAGATACATCAAGGGACCCAGCTACAAGCAAACACACTGGTTTAGGAAATGGAGTATTTGCCTTCTAACACCTTAGCACTGTCAGCTTTTACACACGGCATCCCTTAATACTTCACATCTCATCTGGTTCAAGACCATCTCAGTATCACATTTTGACAAATAAAACAGAACATCTTTTATTGCTTAGAAGAGGCAAGGTTAATATTAACTTCATAGCAGGAACAAGAATCCTCACTTACTTCCTCGTCTACTTTATCTTGACTGGATCTTTCCTCCTCTGTTCTTTTTGATGCTATTTCCATTGCCTAAAGAAATACAAAACAATACAAAGTTATCACTCTTTAGAATCGCATCACTTTATCCAACCAACCATTCCCATCTGCGTTTCTCTACACACATACACAGGATTATGTGTGTACATCACACAACTGTCGCTCACAACATACTCCAGCTTTCCCTATGGCAACGCCTTGAGCGACACCTAATGGTAACCAACACTTCTGCGAAGCACGCCTGTAACTGCACATTGGCTTTATTAATAGTGGGAAAACATGCTTGCTGCTCCTTCCAAACCAACTTATGGCAGGCCCAGCATGATTACAGGACGCAACAGCACAAGTAGAATACAATGAGCAGCGCACAGGCCTGGAACTCAGCTCTTCTCATGCACATTGAGCAAGCCAGAGGAGCACATGGGGAATCACGTAGCACAGCTCTGTCTCATTCAACCTCCAACAAGACACACAGCACACAACAGATATCCATCCCCATGCTGTACAGGTATTTGGACCACACTCAGTCTCTGCCTCGTGGTCTTGACCAGGAACAATACATCAAATCTCCACTCTGAGCATGGCATGTGGCCTGCATCTTTCTTGCATTAACTTAAAAAGCTTCCCCCCCTCCCCTTTTTAAAGATCTCACCAGGAGCAGAGGACTGGCAGCTAGATACGAAATGCATGGGCACTGCTAGCAACACTGAGCCAGTTTACCTCCTCCTAGAATCAACATGTTCTGCCAGCTGCTATATTTGGCTAGCAAGAGCAGGCACCTTAGAGTAACACTGCCCTGAGCAATTCCCTTCCTCCCTCAGCCCACCCTGCTCCAACTGGCATTCCTAACCCCATTCTCTACGTAAGCATGGTTGTATTTCTGCAGAGCTTCTCCTTGCCAAAAAGAAAGAACTGATTTAAAGCATCTTGTCTTTAGTAGCACTCGAAACAGACATTTGAGTTTTCATGATTACACTTTGCAAAAACACAGAATGAACGTGTTGCTATCCTACAGTGGTATAAACGGAAAAGACCCGTATGCATTTTTGAAGCACTAGCATAACATAATGTCATATACCAGCTTTCTTCAACAGCAGGATGTAGATTAAGTAAGATGAAGGAGCTTGAACTAGATCCGATTTTATTGTTTCAGTCTTCCTATATAAGCAACGAGGCCATGAGGTCTTACCTTAGACAGATAGTCATCAATGTTCTCGTTTGTGATAGAAGGATCAGTAATAAATTCAAACAGCTCCCTCACAGTCATCACTGCAACATTGCGCTTCTGGAAAAAGTCTACCAGAAACAAGGGCAGAGTCAAAAACTGTAAGTAATTACATGTAACGTGCAGCTGTGATGTTAAATTGACAGTTACAGCAAGCTGATGGCCCTGATGACTTCAGAAAGCCTCAGCAACGTGTACCGCATCATACTGGGTTTAGTTATCATATGACTCTTGGCCATCTGAAATAGAACTGTTCATCTTCCAGATGCAACAAATACTGAAAGGAGAATAACCACATAAATGTAAAAGCCAAATCAATTTCAGCAAGAGCCAGACTTAATGAAGTAGGGACTACAAACTACTAATGACTGCACTCAATCAATTTCTTGAGCCAAGTACAACCAAATTCAGAGGCTGCACTTCTGTACTGAAGAACAGCAGTGAAAGACACTGAGGACTGCTTAATAAGTGTTTCCTACTAAAGTTCTGAGAAGATCTCTCACCATGAGAAATTAATCATAGAATGAACAAAAAAAATTAGTTTGGAGGCAGCTCTCTGTGCCCATGGAACCCCAACCCTTGCAATGCTCACAGCTAGGGCTGTCTCTGTAGGACCCACTACACAGAGAAAGTTAGTGACAGGAAACAAACAAACAAAACACACCCAAACCACTGAAAGTCACTGAGGCACTAAAATATCCATGGAGAGCAAGCCAAAAGACAATAAAAGAGAGTAAGAGTGCAAGTATCTGAGCCAGAAGGGAGTTATTAGAAACCCATGAACAGAAAAGGAACAAGTTAAAACTAGCATACTGGGTATCAACGAACACACAGCATCAAAAAGCACACAGTTCTTCTTCCACAGACTTTCAAGAGTCTCTGTAAAATTAGAAAAAAGTCAATCCGAAAACAAAGTGGGGAGAAAAGCAGCCTGCAATGACAGATTTCTTGTCCTCAGAGAGAAACACAGCCTACCAGGAGGTGGGTGTCTGTTACACAACATGCATACCCACAGACGAAGTGCGAATTTTCAGAAGAGAAATACAATAAAAGTACCTTGTTCATCAAAATACTATGACAAGCGGTATCATCTCTAATAAATTACTCTATGCCTCGATCCTCTCAGCTGACCTGGACAAGTGAGTGGAGGGTACTTCATAACACATTGCAACTTCTTGCCAGCTGAAGAATTCCAGATGTGGATTCCACTCACAAAATGAAAACACATCACTATGTCTGTGCAGTCCGTTAAGTAAGGGGGGTTAAGGCTGGGGTGCATGCTGCTGCATGCTGGGACTGCTCTCTCATCAGTCTGGGACCGATCTCAGATCTATCTTAAATCTGAGATTCAGCCAAGTGACTCATTTCAGCCAGACGACTCCTAGCAAAACGGACTACAATCTTCTGAGCTCAGCACAGTACACTGCTCCCTGAGGAAGCCATGAGAACCCAGGAGAGGGAGGCATTTTAACAGAAGTTTGACAACTTCTGCAGATATACTCGCAAGAACATAGGCGAACCCAGTCCGCCTTCCTAATAAGCCAGCTATCACAGTAAGAATTGAAGTGCAGCTGACTCACCGTTAACGTTGGCACAATCCTTCCGCAGGAACTCCAGTGCATGTGGGTGGTCATGCTCCACGGCCTGTGACACGTCAATGATGTATGCGTCCCCGCTGTGGTACCTGCAGAGAAACAGAGAGCTGTGCTGACTCCACCACTGTTAGATGGGAGATTACTGAGGGGCCAGGAACAAAGTGCACGTCAAACTTCAGAGCCAGCAAACAATCTTAACATTTCTCTAACATACACCTCGCACAGCAAGGCCAGAGTGGCTTTTTTGGGGTCAATCCTTTCGCTCCTCTACACAAGTTGTATTATTAAACTTCAAAGAAATAGTCTTCCTGCAAACACAAAAAGCAGCATTATGGTGGGGGGAGAAAGAAAAAAAACTTTACCAACTTCTTCTCTAGTTGAGTTTTGTTTGCGAGGGGTTTTTGTTGGGGTTTTTTTTGTGGTTTTTTGTTGGGGGGTTTTTTGTGGGGTTTTTTTCCCCCCCCTTTGTTTTGTTTGTTTGCTTTAAAACAGAGAAAGCTCAGATCTGGGTTAAAAGCTACATAATTAACTACCTAAGTTACAAAAGTCAGTCACAAAAAGGACCCCACCCTCCCTTAAAGGTAGGTTAGTACTTTCACACAGAGGTTCCCAATGCATACATTTTAGATGTCACAATTCACAGCGAAGTTTAAAAACGTACAGCATATTAAATTCACTGAGATCTGCATGAACAAGTCTGGCATCTTGGTACATTCTTCTCATATACTGGATGATTTGCAGGTACAGCTCCCGGACTTTGGAGTCAGATAGCTGAGCATTCTTCAGCAGAGGAGCAGGCCTTGAAATTACAACATAAATAACAGAAAGTTAATACTTTTTCCTTCTTCATACCAACTGCAAATGCTTTAACTGCCGTACCTGATCCTTCCACTCACTACACGTGTCAACCACATCAGCATGAGCAGCTAAGTGCATGCAGTCAGCATGAAGGGCAGCAAAGCTTTGTATAAGCTTGCCAATGATACTGGAGCTCTGTTTCCATTGTGAGCTAATCTGGATCATGCTACATTAATGCTTGTACTACAAAATGATACGCTATCTTCATATATGATTAGCCAGCCTTTCCAGGCTTAATCTCTAGTTAAGCCACTTCATGAACTCATTTTGCACACAACTGAGGCTTCAGAATCATGGAGATTGTCTGCAGCAGTAGCTGGCAAATGTCTGGGTCACATGCACACTAAGAGTAACATGTTAATTTTACAGGCCTAAAGTAACAGTAGGTAAATTCAGAGGGTTGGCTTGTTTGGTTTTAATAAAATGTTGTGGAAAGCTACTAATAAAAAAATATTTGATTTTCCACGCATGCTTACCTATCACCCTTACCAATAAAGCCCATGAGAAGTACATGACTTCTTAGCATAATTGGCTCTGGGCAAGGTATCTGGGCTGTATTCAACCTGTAACACAGAAACAAAGCCACAAAAAATAAAAACAAACTCTATTTGCACTGCACTATTGCCTACAGGAGCTCTGTTGCTTTAAACATAATACCCAATAAGAGCTCCTCAAGAAACTCACTTGTGAGGAACACATAGGGAACAAATACAAAAAGCCACAACCATTCTGCTCTGACCCTTCTTTATGCATTCCTGTGTGGGACAAAGAATCTTTACACAGTTCAGGTTAACTGCAGATTAAACTGATACCACACAGTGTACTGTTACTCAGCAGCAGCAGCTTCTAACTTTTCCTCACTTTTCAGTCATGTCAGACAGAGCGTTCAGACACTGAAAAGCTTATACCATGAGCAGCAAGACAAAAGGGTATCTTTATTCCTCCCTCCCCTTTCTTTTCTCTCCCACAGGGAAGCTTAAGACACTTCCCTGAATAATCCAGAGACCCTAAAAGGTAGTGATAGCCACAGTCTAGCATTAGCAGAGTACCTCCTATGAACTTACAGTTCCAGTGACCTTTGCATGCTGAAATAAAAACTGGAAGAATCACCTTATTAAATTCCTCATTTCTTTTTCAGCCCATGTCTTCACCATTTTTCTTGGGTTGCCTTTGCAATATCCATGACGAAATCTTTATTTAAAGAAACGAAAGACAACAGGGACTCTCAGCCAGTCAATGCAGTATTAGCACAGGCGATTTTACCATCTTTCAAAGCAATACCTCTTCCCCAGTAAAACCAGGAAGAAGTCAAACTCACCTGAATTCTCCACTCACATACTTATCCCGATCTTTAAACATCAGAATAGAGGTTTTGTAAATCTTTATTGCTCTGTTCTCTCCATTCACAGTACTGGCATGATATACGTTAGCCTATTGGATTATGAAGGGAAGAAATAATATTAAAGAAAAACTCTTTAAACCAACATAACCTTCTCTCTTCTTCCCTTTCCAACATCCTGGAAAAGATCCGATAAGCTCTCTCACCCCAGCCCCTAAGTGGCACCCAGCTGACTGCGACTGCACACAAGGGCTATCTGTTTTTCTACCAGAGGCAGCTTACAGAAAGCACCTAGGACTGGGTAGGGGTGCATACAAGGACAAAAACAACAGTGCACAAGAAAGCTCTGCCTCATCCGCATTTTGGAGACTGAAACAAGCCCTTGTGTGAAGGGTTAATTTGCGCCTGTGCACTACTTAAGCCCTAAAGCATGGCCCAAATATCTCACATTGACACCTCTACAAGGGGTGAAAGTATGCCTTTAATTAGCATCCAAGGACTTGGAAGAAAACCAGACCAGTCTAGGGACTAGGCATTCTAAACCCGATTTATTAGTTTACTTGGAAATTTGTGGTCTGTGTTTAATTACCTGCAATATTACTTGAGAACACCACACAAACATGCTAGTTTTGTAACAGCAATGATAGTATTTTTAAAATAATTCTGTTATGCCATTTAGATACTCCCATGTCTGCTGACATGAAGAGCTAGTCTGATTTGTGTGCAAGAAAGTCACACATGAAGAACAAACTACCTGCGTTTGTATGTTTTTCAGGCACTGTTTAATATTGTGTGTACACATACCCTTTCCAAAAATTTCAGTTGTAACATACAACTAACAACATCCACAAATTTAAGATAACATTTAAGTATTCTGAGGAAACTGTCATACTTAGGGAATCTTGCTTCCTTTAACATAAATTGCATTTTATCTTAAGATAACTTCCTACCAATCAAGCAACACAAAAAAGACTAGTACTAAAAGAAAGTATTTCAGTACCTCTGAGCACCACATGCTTCCAACTAGCTTGCTGAGAAAGACTATCGTGTCATTTGTAATAAAACTTACTTCTTTCCCTGTGCTGATGCAGCCATTGATTTCTGATATGACACCTCTAGATAGCATCTTGAACAGAATCATTCGTGTCCTTGGATCCAACACCTCAAATTTAATACAGAAAAGTCAGAACAATTGCTCTCTTTGAAGAAGACAAAACCTACTAATACATTCTGATCTTAGAACCATACTAGAGGACACACGGCACCAGACTATTCTTAAGGATCGAATGATAATCCGAAGAGCAGTCACTCAGAATTTGACTATGACTCTAGAACAATACTTGACTTCTTTCAGGATGTTTTTTTGGTTTTAAGATAGGCATATGTCCTCGACTTAGCTCTGGAAGAGGCACAAGAGAATGATTTCCCACCCACAGCTGCACTAAACCTATTAAAACAAGGTTTCTTTTAAGACACAGCGATCACAAGTGAAATAGAGAAGCTATATGGCCTTGTGCCAGTAATAGTAACAGAAAAAAGGAAAAAAGCAAACCCAGCATTTTTTGCTGTTCTTTGGAATTTAATAAAAGCTTAAGATGTAATTCTGCATTGCATATATGATCAAATCACAATGCTAACCACAAACATGAGCTCCAAAACCTTCACATAAGAACAAAAACAGCAAGAAACAACAGGTCTCTTCAGGTTAACAAGGGAAACAGAATTCCAAGGCAAAACTCTGATCCTGCAGTAACCATTTTATCACTGACTCCAAAATTCCAAATTATTTGTTCCAGTCAAAAGAGAAATTTGATGCATTAAGGACTTACCTGTTCTACTGTTGCTCTGTCTGACTTATCTTTGACTCGGTACCTAGCAGAAGTGAAAATAAAATGATACAATCCCACACATGGACTCAGTACTTTGTATCAAAAAGAGAAGATGACCGCCTCAATAAGTAAGGCCATCAGTTCATACAAATGCAAATATTTCCCCCGAAGGCAGAGAAAAAAAAAAAAGAAACCCATAAACATCAGTGCCCTTCACTTTTACCGATATTTTCTTTCCTCCACTGAACTATGCTCACTCTGGAGAACACCATATCTGTTTCCACAACTTAGGGCTATAAGCTGCCATCTTAAAAAAAAAATTTACAAAAAGGTACCTCTCCACCAAATCATCAGGTGGAACCTTCAAAAGGCTACCAGTTTTTTTTTCTAGCCCAACTGCTTAAGGACCTCTGTTTAGAATAAAAATACCAGAGATAAAATAGTCTTTTGCTAGTGGAATGACACCCATCACTTCTGTCTTACTACACCAATATAATCAAATGTGCTACGAGCAGCAGACACAGAAGCATCAAAATTTTGGAATGATTTAAGCAACTAATCTGGAAATCAAAAAGTTTAAGATCAGAAAGCAAACTCCACGCAGACTGTTTACAAAATTTGGTTCTCTTAATAAATTTATTCAAAACTCAGGATCACATTAGGAAATAAGAACTACTCTTCTGGGTTCAAATTATTTAAATGAAAATAGAACCAGAAGTAATACTCACATGTCTGCTTCCTTCTGTCTAGACTTTTCTGTAACTCGGTTTATAACGGAGTCATCAAAATTCAGCTTATCTGAAAAACACATATGAAGAAATGAAAAAGAAGAACCAATATCAAAGAAGTTTCCTATGTTTGGAATTGCCTCTGCAATCCTGCTGCCAGCCAGTATGCCACAACACAGCACTCAAACACAGGTGGAGCTCTTTATAATAAGCCCAGGAGCTTAGCTAACAGACCAGTCAACCTAATGCTCCACTCTGTCTATACGTCAAGGACTATAAGGTAACAACACAGATGAGTGAGGCAGTTCTACAGACTTAGAGATGTAATGCCATCCAGAAGTAATGCCTTCTGGATAATATCTCACCACTAAATTTGTCCGCCGTTCTCTTCTCACATTCAAATGCCATTTTTCTAAACAGAATAAGCAACAGACTTCAGGACTTTCTCTTCAGGATGCATTTAAAATGGTGTTTGATTAATTGCTCAGTGTATAAAAGCTGCTGTGTGGCTACGCATACCAGCACTACTATTTTGAACCTTCATTTTAGAACTGCTTTGTTATGAAAGAAAACACAACCTCTGTTCACTGCCCTGTCGAAAGGCCTCAGTCACAGCTACATTGAGACCTGAGAGGCTGACCAGAACAGCCATTCCCATCGTGCGGTAAGCATGAAACTACCCTGGCTAGGACAGCAGCCTCTTCGCTTACCACAAAAACTCTATCCCTGTGAGAGAACCGTTCCATAATCTACCACCCTAATACTATAGGGGACTGCAATCGTCTAGAAAATTTAGTTGTGGTAGCAGCTTTGAGAATGACCAACAACATCACAACAGAGAGTGGCTACACCCCCCGCCAGCACACCACTC